GGCACAGCCGCAGGGCCCAGGCTCGGCAGCGAGCGCACGGCCAGGCCTCGGGCCGGGGCCGGGCAGCGGGAGGGCGGGCGGAAGCGGCCTCCCCAGGAGCGCGGCCTCCCCGGCCGCCGCCGACCCACGCCGTCGCCCGGGACGGGGGAAGCTGCTGAGAGGGTGTCACCGGGCTGTGCCGCCCCGAGCTCCCCCGCCGTCCCTCATCCGTGGGTGCCCTTAGTCCCTGTCCCCCGCGGCGAGTTGCCCCGCTGCCCTCCCCGGATTGAGCGGGAGGGGTGCGGGCCTGCCGCAGGTGAGGCGGCAGGAGGGGAGCCGGGCCAACATGGAAGCCAGGCGCTGTGGCCTTGAGTGACAGGGAGGGTGGCAGCGGCACCCGGCCACTGTGGGGGGCCAGGGGTTTGTGGCTCCCCAAGGCCCCAAAATATCCCCGCTGGATTGCTGCAGAGCGGGACGTGCGTTGGCTCTCTCATAAATAACCTGTGGCTTGTGTCCCACCTAACTGGGCGGTAAGGAAGGCCGGAGTCAGGCCGGTTAGAAAAAGCAAAAAGCAGGAAGAAGGAGCAGGTTGATGTGGCCGCTGAAACAAGGAGAGGCCAGGGGTTGGGGCCAGTGCTGTGATCGACATGGCAAAGCCCCTGACAGGAAAAAGGAAGCTGGTTTGGCAGAGCAGCGCCGGTGGAGGGACGAAGGTCCCGACACTGTCACGTCAGCCCTGTCCGAAGCCACATGAGGACCTGGACTCCTCTGAGGTGATGTGTAAGCTCCGATCGATCTGGCTTTACCACGGCTTTGCTTGCTTGTGGTAGATGTTAGAAAAGTGGAGTGTATTCTGCAGTTTCCTGCCGTACAGCCCAAGATGGTGGTTGGTGCTGCAGGGCCTTGTGCTAAGCCAGAGCAAGGACTCCTCCTGGGCTGGCTGTTCTCCTGCCCACCCCCTGGGAGAACCATTTGGTGAACAGACAGCAAGTGTTCACTCCGTGGTCTGGGCTGGTTAGAAGCAGTGGCTGCAGTTCCTGTACACTGCCTGGAAGTTAAGCAAATCTAAAGTCCAAGAAGTGTCAAATACATGAGCCAAGGTACAGATCTGGAGGTAGAAAGGTAAAACGAATCCTGCAGTTGGTAATCCATAGGCTGCCACAGGCTTTCATGTGATTTTGGATAAATCAGTTTTTCTTTGCCACTGTAGAAGAGGAATAGTAACGCTTTTGCTCCTCGCAGGCTATTTTGAGGCTTAAGGCTGAGGCTGTAACATATTATAGTGAGATGCCTTTACAGACGTAACTAAAATGGTTTGGTTCTTGTCTCTCTACAGACAACTAGATTTAAAATTAACTGACATAGCATAGGACTTGGAGGAATGTTAGGCACTGTGTGTACTGCGTGAAGGATGTAAAAGGAGAAACAAAGTGTGCCAAGGCTACAAACGCCTGCGGTACGTACACAGAAAATGAGAAGGAAAAACACGGTGAATTATTAGAAAGGCAAAAGGAGTACTAAGAGGACAAGGTCATGAAAGCCCAAAGATGAGATTTCAAGGTGAATGTGATCAGCAAGTTCCAAGGCTGAATTAAAAAAAAAAAAAAGAGCCAAAGGAACTGGAAAAGCTGGGAACTAAAACCAGATAGAGTTGCAGATTAGTAATTTCTTTGTTTGTTGCCCTTAAAGGGAGGAAAATACAGTGGTAGAGGCAGAAGGAAGGGGGATAAAAACTAGTTTCAAGTCCAGGGCATAAAGTGATCGGATTTTTAATCTAGGTTTAATGAGAATTGTTGTTTAACTCCAGTACATGAGGTATGTCAGAAATACTAGGCTAAGCATTCCTCTAGCTTGCTTTAAACTGAGATTAATGCAACTGAATTCCTAGGACTTGCAGCATTGTTAAACTGGGCTAAATGAGAAGAGAGTCAAGGCTGTTATTTTCAAAAACTTGAGAAATGCAAACAATGACATTCAGCCAGAAAGAAACTGAAGAGTTAAAGACCTTTTGCATTTGTTGTGTACTCCTTCAGCAAACCTAATGGAGATGAAAGTCACAGTAGTCCAACTACAAAACAAGTAAGAAAAGGACCAAATATGGTGCCTCACTAAAACCTAATGATAGTTATTAGTTCACGGGCTAATTTGGCTTCAAAAGTCTTTTGTCCTTTCCCTCTCTTTCCCACATGTCTTTTGGGATGCAATTAAAGGTCTTGGTTTTTACATTTGCTAATGTGCTGAGCTACTTGAGGTTGTCTTGACATACGGTTACCCAGTGTGATCAACAGAAAGACCAAGTTCAACAAAATGCATCTTCGGCTACACAAAGCATTTGCCGTATTTTATGATTACAGCACTTCACCAGTGGCACAAAACAATTCAATGAAGGTTGTTGTTCAGTGACAGCTGCAGAAAAGAGTGGTGATGGTAAGGAAACTCTGGAAGACAATGAGTATTTATATTACAATGGTGTCTACAATATGCTAGAAATATTTTAAAAGCGTATAAAGACTCTATTCATTGCCAAAGAGTTTGTTCCTTAAAAGACAGCATAAGGACAAAGCATGATGAAAAGCAACATATGGTATACAAAGCGAAGTGACCAATGTGATGGTTGCCAAAACTGAGGGGGAAGGGACTTCCTCCTCTTGTTTTTTTCTGCCGATGACTCTTCACTCACTCCCTAATGGGGCATTTCCAAGATAGCTAGTTTCTTGTACGTGTCAGTGAATGCTGGAAGAGAACCTGGCTGGTGACTAGGTAATGATGAGACACATTGCTTTGCAGAGACTACAGATGAGAAGTCTTTAATAACAGTCACGATGGGGATGTTGTGGGATAAACTTAATGCAAGGTCATAGTTTTTTGTCACCACTTAGATACGGATCTGATATGTTTATTAGAAGTTAAAAAAAAAAAAAAGGAGGGGTTGGTCAATGAATAACTTCTCTGTTTTCATTAAGTAGTAATAATAGCTGCGTTTGTACCATGCTTTATATATTTGGAGTACTGCAGTGGTAGGTTGCATAAGCAACTGAAGAAAAAAATATTTGAAGCCCAGTGAGAGAGGGGAATGCAGAATAACAAGATTAGAGAAGTTCAATTCACAGAACAAAATCATTTTAGAAATAAAGTTTGTATAAAAAGTGATCTCATCTTTAGATTGCTTTGCTGTGAACAGGAAAGAAGTCCTTGGGACTCCAGGCTACGTTTTTCACTGCTGCCAGAAGTCCACTTGGAAGCTACACATGCTCCTGAGGTTGGTGGGAGTGTAAGATGTCAGTCAGACAGATGTGTGTCCACGACAGCATCACGATTAAAATTCAGAACTTGGGGGCTTGTAGCATTCGGTCTCCCCCCCGAGACCACCGCACCGTGTACTTCAGCCTGACCGCGCTTATTCCACTTAAACCATTATTCACTGATCTCAACAGTGGCATTTTTCAAGCTTGCTTTTCATACCAGCAAGTGAACTGTAACAGGTTTGCAGCTTTTCCAAATAAAACTAGAGAACTGTTTGTCTGGGTCGGATTCTCTGTTAAACTCACTTCCTTTCTAATCAGGACAAACTGTACAAAGAACATCCACAAGGCTATGCAAGTGCTCCTTTGTTGAATGCACCCTCTTTTCCTGAGGTACTCAAGGGGTTAGTGCGGTTTATTCATCTCCCAAATACCACCCCTGCCCCCTGTTTCTGCAAAGCGAGGGTCACCCATTGGAGGGGATCAGGAAGGTGGCAGGTTATTGACTGGCTCTGCTAGTGCTGACCATTATGGAGGAGCACATGGCGGACCACAAGGTCAAGTCACTCCGTGGCCAGCACAAGCTAAGGGGCCTCAGCAATTCTCAACATGGAGGCTTCAGCTCTCCGCTATGCCAAGAGCTTGATAATCTCCTGTCACAGTATGACAGGGCACACAGCCCTCGGAGCAACAGAGAATTGGGCTCAGAGTCCTGAAAATAACCCATGGTACCCTGGACCACCTCCCATCCTGCTTAGTGCCATTGCAGAGTTGCCCTAAAAGTTTCTGCTGAAATTAACAGAATAATTTGATTGTTTATTACTGAGTATCATAATGGTGTCGTGTATAAAGGAAAAACCTTTCATTATAATCTGAGATTATAAGTGCTGGGCTAAATTATAAGGAGAAGTATTCTCAATTACTTTGTGTAAACTCATGTTTAATATTGTGGGATTCCTCCGGGCTCTGCAACTAAAATTGTTTTTGCTGCCCCTGTCTGTCTGAAGTGATACGCCTTTGCTTCTCTGGGAATACAGCCTATTTTTATTACACCAAAAATATGTTAGGGTTGATCCAGATAGATTTACACATATTAAAATATTTGACTACTTTAATAATTTTATTCATTTTTAAAGAAAAATGAAATATGCTAGTGAAGTACAATACAAAGTCTTTTTTTTTTTTTTAACTGAAAATGCTGCTACCAGATGTCTGTGTCTGTAAAGCTGTTGAAATGCAGCAGAGCTTAGAAAATGCTCAAGATTGACTCATTCCAGTTTTGTCCTCATTTTAAACTTTGTACCATGGAAAGTTCAAAAGCTTTTTCCACATTGTTTGTGAGGTTTCTCCAGAGGGAGTATTTCTGGCTTTGGTTAGAAAAGAACTCCCTGTCTTGCTGAAGATTGACAATTACATACATTTTTGGCCTCTAACTTAAACAAGCCAGCAGGCCCTCAGGGTGCTTAAAGTCCAGTTATGAACAGAAAGTTACTTTTAAAGAACATTTTTTAAACGCTATTTGAAATCCACATGCTGATAGAGCGATAAGCAGTTTTGGAAAAAAAAATAAAATTCCTGTTTTATCTGTTTGTAGGTCAAATATATCTGAACTGCTCTGGAAGCTTTTCTCGATTTCGGTGCAGACAAGTCTACCAGAGTGAAAACAAGGGACTTCAACATAAAGAAAGTCTCTCCAGCTCTTTGCAGGGCCACAATCATAACATGAACTTTTCACTTTGCCTCTGATATGTGCTTCCTGCCCCTTGTGTCATCATGATTCAGCATCGTGACATGCTGAAAGATCATCAAGGTGGAAACAATGCCGAGCAGTGTTAGGGTGATGTGGCTTGCCATGATTATTGTGCACGTACCTGATTTATTGCACATCATATTTTCTCTTTCCTTGTCTGTCAGCTGCCAGGCACGTAGTTCTCTCCTCTGCCAGGGCCTGGCCTCGTGTTTGGAAAAGAGAACAGGGATGCCCTGGGTGTGGGCAAGAAGGACAGTTTGCACCCCTTGTATTGCAAAGCTTGAGAGCTCCTCAGCTCCTGCATCACAATATATTGTGCTGTTTAATGGATTACAGTCTCCTCTTTTTTTCCTGATTCCCTAGAAACTACTATCTGGAGCTCAAGAAAGGAACTCAAGAACTGTTCCTGAAGCCGTAGAGATGTGTTTGATAAAATACCAGACACTTGATCTTTGGGTGAAGATGTAGTTTCTTTTCCCTTTCCCCAGCTGGCTAGCACAATTTCTGATACCTCTACATTTTTTCTTATTGAGGCACTTCTACCAGTAAGAGAGATTCTAAGAAAACAGCGAACTTAAAACGTGTGCTGCTAGGAAAGGAGAACCCTGTCTCAGTAATTTAAGAGAGGAAGGAAAGGATAATAGCGAGGGAGTTTTTGAGCTGATAAGACCGACTAGGTGTTAATCCTCAATAAGACTTAGGGGTTTGATTTTTTTTTTTTGATGAGGCAATTTCTCGAGAAGAATGGGGGCAGGTTTCATTTTTGTTTGTTTTCCAAGTGAACAACG